ACAAAAGAATAGCTTCAACAACCGATCTAAGCCTGCTAAGTAATGGTTCATTTAGTTATTTAGGGTACTACCTTCCTGTGAATCCCAACTTGTTTGAGCACAGTGTCACAGAAGTTAGAGGACCCACTGCAGTGACCATGACAACCTCGCTCAAGCCACAACAAGAGGGGTTTTGTCCTCGAGGGCCGCTCTAGTGAACCCTACTGCGCCTGCTCTCCTTTTTATATCTCTTTCTCACTCTTTCTCTGTCTGTCTCTTTTACACACACATACACAAACAGGCACACACACATATACATAGAAACCAGTTTTTCTTTTTTTCCTTAATTTTCCCAGGGTGCATGGTGTGCCTGCATGGTGGAGTGTTTACGGGATGTTATCTCCGTCAGTGCCGGCCCCCCATCCCTCTGAGTGGGTTTTCTGAGGAATGCTGAAACGGGATGGAGGAGTTCCAAAGGGGGAGTGACGAGAGAGAGACAGGCAGACACTGGGAGAGAAAGGGAGAGAGAAGGAGGGAGGGAGGGAGAGAGGTAGGGAGTCTATATATGCATCCCTAGGAGGCTGGTGCTCACAGGCACAGCTGGACTACTGGATAGCTGGACTGTAGCCCACTGGATATTTTGCTAGAAAGGTGAGTTTTTACTTTTGAATTGCTCTAATTCTTTGTTCAGCATCTCCATCATCAACTTTTACCACTTTACCATCATTTAAAATGTCCAATTAAAGGTTAAAAAAAAGTGGGAAAAGAATAATAGACTAGGAAAGCAAGACAAAAGCAAGAGAGAAAGGAGGAAATAAAAAAAAGAATTAAAAACCCTCAATATGTATAGTGTAGCTTGTCTCACCATTGTCAAAACCGAATCTTTGAAGAAATGCATTTAACTTTTTTTCTTTAAAAAAAGTCTTGTATTTCCTTACAAGTTAAAAGTCTTCAACCAAAACAGTTAAAATCTAAGGGATGTTCAAGAGGTAGAGATGAATCCTTTGGAGGATGTGGTCTTGTTAAAGCTCTGCGGATGTGGTTTTCTATTTAAGCTCCGTAGCTCTATAGCACAGCATATCACATTGAAAAGTGAGACCAGTGTTTGATCAAGTGCTGTGTAGGACTCGCCTTTTTCCTTTCACACAAATATATTCAACTTTCTTTGCTAAAAGACGACAAACTTTACACATTTTCTGAAGATATCTTCAAACACAAACCAAGATAATTACTCAGTAAGTATTTATTTCATTGTTATTTGTTTTTTATTTAAATTAGAAGGAAATGTAATTACTTTATACGATTACACATTTTAAATTAAACAGTGCACTTTTGTTTTCTATCACACAGAAATGTAGAAATATTATAAAAGCACTGATGGTATGTGGCTGAATAAATTAAACGTAACGAGTGCAGTGATAGGAAAGGCTGTAAAAGGACACCACTGATCTCATCACTGCAGCAATTATTGTCTGTGGTTACACATGTAAACCTATATTTGTATATTTTCCTCATACAATAAACTCTTACAGATTTGTATGTGATTTTAATTACGGGGCTGTGATAATTAAGGAAGTGTGATTGCTATATTGAACAAGTGCATTAAAGGGGACTTCTTGCTCTCTCAGACCTGGGTGTGCCTTTTTCTAAACTGGATATTGGCTTCAGGGAACGAGAGATTAGTTAGATCATCTCTCTTGTGTATTTTACATCGAAAATCATACTGTCGTTACCAAAGTAAAACACCCTCTTTTACCATGATGTGAACATCTGTGTTTGCTTTGGGACTTGGCTATTGTTAGAGCAGTATAAAACTAACATCCCAAAGGGCCAGTTCTGCAGTGTTGCACAATACTCACATCATAATTCATGAGTAAATACACCATGTTTGATATTTGTTCTGAATTGCCATCCATGTGTGTCTCATTTGTGTACTTTCATTAGCTTTTTTCTGGTAGCCTATGTGTCAATGGCACCAAGGCTTAAAAACGTGTCCCTGTCATTAGCTGAGGCTCTGAGGGTGCGGCATGAAACCGGATGCCTACATGTTCAGACATGACCTGCCGTTTGCTTTATGATAGGGTTTTGTTTCTCAGGAAAAAGGCCTGTGAGAAAAAAATGACTTATTGTCAGCTGTTTATGGTTTCATTGCCAACTCTGACTGAAAAAAAGAAAAAGGAGTTTTTACTGAAATGTCTTCACACTGAAATGAACTTTACAAGGGTTTCATGTTTCTTCTTCTTTCAGACGCAAGCAAAGCCTCTGGAAGTGGGAACCATTTTAAATTAGTAAGTGTGCAATACATAAAACAAAGATGAACAATGTGGCAGATTGGCTCGTCCAGAACAGGGACAAGATCGAGAAAGGTGTGGAGATCATGGGGCAAGCCTCTGAGGTGCTCGCTGCCACTGTTGGCCAGCTTCACCCCATCTTAGAGGCTGTGTTCGTGGCCTCAGCCGAGATACTCAGCAACCCGGACAGCAAGGAGGCTCGCTACCTGACTCAGCAGTTTGAAATGGTCAACCAGCAACTTGAGGGAATCCAGGATGAGATCGATCAAATTGCCCTGGAGCTGCAGAAGACGTCACTGAACAAGCAGAACTTCGATCGTGAGGCGCAGATGCTCAGCCAGTATGAAAAGTTCCAAGACTTTGTCAACGCCAAGCCAAAGTTCAAGGAGAAGAAGATGGAGAAGTTCATCAGCCATTACGAGAACACCGATTCCGACTTGAACCTGGACGCCCTCTACAATGCCGTCATTGGGGAGAGCACAGCAGGAGACCCGATGCTGGAGACAGTAGTCGCCATAGAGCAGAGAAGCAGAAGGGCAGTTGAGGATTTCTGCGCCCGGCTGAAGAAGCTTTTTGTGGTCGGCATTATCTCCATCATGGGCCATTCTGCCCTCAAGGAAGGGGTGGTGGGGGAGGATATGGTGAAGAAGTGGCAGGGACGGATGGAGGATGTCGAGAAACGAATGAAAGCGGCTGTCGATGAGTGTACAGAGAACTTTGCAGATCAAGCCAAAATGGACATTGAGCACAAGCTTCTGGAGAATCCCGGCACCGTCAACCAGGACTTCACCAAATCCCTTCTGGATTCGCTTGTTAAGAAATACGACTGGGTGAACTGGTCCGTCAGGGCTTTCAACAACAGGGAGCGCATTTTCTTTTTCAACTGGCTGGCAGGAAAGAAATGCCATGGAAGTGGAGGAGCCAACTGGTTTGACATTTTGACCAAGACCAAGATTAAAGTGGTGGTCTCTTTCTGCATTGACCCCAAGCCCATTAACAAGGGTCAGATCCTGGAGCAGATTGAGAGTCAGAAGATGAAGGGGAACATGATGGCAGTGGCTCTGGCGTTGAACAAGAGCTTTCCCAACTACCTGGTCCATGCTGTCAGCCATTACAAAGAGGTGGTGCAGTCCAACAACTTCCATGAGGACTGTTACTACTATGGGAAACACAAAAGGGCCTACCTGTGTATCCACTCTGAGTAGGCTCACAGAGAAACATAAAGTGTAGCCGCCCACAAACAGGAAGAAATTAGCTACACATAAATTCATGAATGTCTTTACCAGAGCCCTGGAAATCTCTCCATTAAATATAGAAATGGATTCATAAATATTGTCTGTGTTGATGCCTATTCTGCCCAGTGATGTGTGATTCATTGTCTTACTCGTATCTATTATTTTACAGAAATCTTTAATCTGTTGATACAGCAGCTTCAGGGCCGTATATCTCCATGCCAGCTTTGACTTAATGTCATAAAATGTGATACTGTCCCTAATTTGATGCTAGGATTGGGCGATATGAGAAATTAGTCAAATAGCTTCAAGAAACTTTGCCATGAGTTTATTGGATTGATTCATACCATTGAGGGCAATATTGTAAACGGATTAGCAGGACTACTTTATGGCGTGATTTGATTTGTATTTGATTTGTATTTTTGCATTAATGTGATGCCTTGTCCATTTGGGTTATGATTTTATTATTTGCCTTTGAAAGCTGTAGAATAAGTGAATGGACTGTGGTGCGGTTTTCTCAACTTCGGATTCTGATGTCAAAAATGTTATTTGAAACTCAACATCTAAAGGAATACTTTTACATCCTGGGAAAAACACTCACTTACTTCCTGTCAAGAGTAAAATAACAAGATTGATACCACTGTCTGTAAGATAACATACTATAGCCAGGACGCAATAAACTCAAAGGAGAAAAAAGACTTGAAACAGGAAGTCTAGGAATGTTAATTTACAGAATATCTACAAGAGTATTTCTTGGTGGGTGACATCCCCGATCTTGACACAAAACCTCCTGTAAAACACCAGAGTACACTTTGTTTTCTTATACAATTAAACGAACAAGATATTACTCTAAGCTTAGATAAACTCCTGGCTGGAGCTTCATATATAGCAAACAGACATGTTAGTCAGACGAATCAGAAGAAGTTATTTAAACTTAATTTGAGATTTTGTTGTTATGTTTTTGTTTCTCAATTGATTTTCCAGAATGTGCACCACCTAGGCATAGACTTGATATCACAAATAAATGAATGACATGTACTACAGTAATTGATTATATTGATATTATCGCCTACTCCTAGATATAAATGTGTATAAAATGAAATCAATTCAAAGTTTCTTGCTGCTTTTAATGCAATTCATGGCTGCAGGGCAGACGTCCAAAATCCGTATTCTACAATCACTTAATCAAGACACTTGTGTATATTTTAATTTGTAATAAACAAAAATATATGAATGGTTTTGTCATCATTGGTCATTATTACTCAGCTATTTTAAAGTACTTAAAAACTATTATAAATATTGAAAAGTCATGACTGATGAAGTGCATTGTTCTGCTGACAGTATTTCTACTCAGAACGAATCTCCTTCAACAGTAATGCTTTATTACCATGCCATTGTGTACCAAATGGGTGGAGGTAGATTTGTAATAATATCACCACATCAACAACCTATTATGCTCACAACCTTTTTTTTTTTTTTACCTCCACCACCCAAGTTTTTTTTTCTTCTGGGTGTGCCTCTGCTCTGTAACTTGAGAGCCACATGACCAATAGGAAGACAAACAAACTCTGGAAGTTAGGGTATTTCTTCCGCCAACTTTTTGAGGTGAGTCCATTTCTGTTCCAAATGCTTTATAGTTGACAGGCTTACATAGGTTAACTGTGGTGGTAGTGGTAAAACACTTTAATATGAAATGATCGATTCAGCTTCATCGACTCCATTTCAGACTCGTTACATAATCGAGCTTTCCCCCCCCTCTTTAAACACACTGGCGTGCCGTTAAAACACGTCCAATACGGGTATTTTGTCAACGTAGCTTTGATTTAATAAAGTGAAGTGGGTCATTAGATGAATCTGCACTTTTAAATGCAGTTAAAACAAAAAAGAAGTTTCGATTTTCTGGGCGTTGGTTGCCAGATCTGGTGCCACCGCTTCACTTTTTCCAGGAAGTGCCAAACTTACAAGGCGTTGTGTTGCGCTGTAACAAAAAAACAACTCATCTGTGGTGTTAACCTGCGATGTTTGTTTGGCACTCTGTCCCTCGGCTGTAAAATGATACAATTAGAGGCCTCGTACACGGACTGATCGATACTTTTCCATTAAGAGGGAGCATTAACAGAGCGCTTAGCTCGTCTCTCAATGGCCAGACGGAGCGGTCAGCTGAGGGTTTGGTCATCTGTGTTCAGAGGAAGCTCTGCCACATAACATAAGTGAAACATGAATCAGCTCAGCTCTTAAGAGACATTATGTGTGTCTGTTTGAAGTAGATACACTCAGATCAATACACTTCGGTATGCTATGTTTTGTTTTGAATCATTATAACAATTGCTGATATAGCCTTATAATAAAAAATATCAAGAAACAATTCAGTGGACGTTGCCTATTCTACTAACCTTTGTAAGAATACAGCAAACGCCACACCTTGATAGTAAAAGTCCAGCATTAAGAGTGTTACTTAGCCACATAAGTCAGTACTTTAAGCTACAGTTAATGTCTGTAAATGTACTTAGGGTATATCCAAAATAAAAAGTATTAACATGACCAGATCACAGAGTATTTTACAATAGTTGGTCAATTTTGAACTATTTAAACTGCTTTTACATTAGTAGTCCAGTGGTTTCCAAACTGCAAGGTTACAAAATTAGTCTGAGGTGTCTGGAGATTATTAAAGGGGTAGGGAAGACAAAAAAACAAAGCTATTCTAAACAAATCTGCTTTCTTCTTTTGTTTACTTTTCTGTAATCTTTTCTTTTTTTGTAAAATACATTAATCCATTGGGCCTTTGAACAGAACTTATTAAATCCTAAATTAAACCAATGTGTCAATGTTTCCCACTTAAATGTTGTACAGCGTAGTATAAAATGGAAATATGAAGGTATCTCAAATTTGAAGTAAAGTACTTGATATGTAAATTAACCTTTCTGCTTCTGTATAGACGGAAATCGTTGCCAAAAAAAAGACGTGTTATTCTTCTCTGCAGCCTGGGATTCATACTGTATCCTCTATGGGGAGAGTTGCCCTCTCAGCTCTCTGTCTCTGAAAATGTGATTTCAGAGACAGATTTTTTGTTTGAATTGTGTGTGTGAGGGTGCTTCACATGCACTCAGACTGCAGTTACACGACCCCTGGGACCCTAGAAAAAGATAGAGAACATCAGTAGGAAACAGGAATCACAATTTTAGCACGGTCAAATCAAATAAGATACAGTAACTGTAAATGTTCCGACATCCTGCCTGGATTTCCTGTTCTGTTGTCAAGTATTACAAGGAAATCATGTAGATATGACATACTGTATTTTACTTTTTCCACAGTATTCATGGTATTCAGGTGTTTAAAGCATCAGGTCGACAAATGAGTGCCATCTTCTCCCTGCAATCTTCTGCAGTCTAGCTAAATAAACCCTGCAGAGCAGACCTCAGCAGAGAGACAACAAGCTGACAGATTATTTTCCATTGTCTTGTTGCTGTGGTTACTTGCTGAGTTTCACTGGAAAACGCACCCTTGCCCAGCAAGTTTAACCTCTTACATTAATCACTTCCCACGCCTGCTGCTCTATTATTGACTGGGCTGCAGCACTGCCGCTTCGCCGTTAGCCACAAATATTTTTTCAACTGAAGGCCAGAATCCTGATTATAAATGTGAGGCCAGCTTCATCACCTTGAGCTGTTGCATAGACAGTCATTGTGAGACAGAGTATGTGGTCATCATTTTGCAGCAAAATTAAACATTACCAGAAGAGCAAAAATGGGATATGTCTGAACATGCCTAGACAATCCATCTGGGTTGCTCTCACTGTCAGCCTTTTCTCTGTTTCCTGGCCTTGAAAGAAACTATTTGTATTTAACAGGATTTTCCAAATCCAGTGGCCCCCTTTTTTCAAGTCTAGGCTTAAAGTGCACAGCAGGAATTAGTTTATATTATATCAACAATGCCTAGCATACTGTATGTACTTACATCTTAATCATTTGTATTATTATGTGAGGGTAAATGATTTACCACCTGGTGAACCTGTAGCTGACTTATTTACAGACCGACTTACAAGAGGTTTCCATGCCGACATATTTGAGATATAAGAGTGGGCTTGATTCGCTAATTTAAAGGGGACCTATCATGCAAAATGCACTTTTGTACGTCTTTTATACATGAATATGTGTCCCCGGTGTGTCAGGGAACTCACCAAGTGTCAGAAAACACAACCCTCTCTCTTTTCCTCCATACCCAAATCTCTAAAAACGGGGCTACAACGGAGCTGATACAGACTGATACAGATTTGAAATTGTTCTGATGTCAGAAACGGGGAGCTCCGCCTATATGGCCAACTCTCCACCTATCAGGGGAATGAGAGGTTGCGTGGCATGGTAACAGCATGGTAACATGATGCTCGTGCCTCGCCCCTCCTGCAGGGGGGCGTGGTCAGCTGCAGCTCATTTGCCACAGAATCAGCCCTTGTGAAGACAGGGCTGGAATACAGCAAATAGAGCGAAATGAGGCATGGCTAAAATGCATGATCTGTTTGGTATTTTGAAAAAAAACTTCACAGACATGTTTTATATAGGCTACAATATATTATTCAAATATAGCATGATAGGTCCACTTTAACTTTAGGCAAGAAAGTGTGTTTCCCAAAAACTAATACTTATATTAGATTTTTTTTTGGACAGTCTGACAACATTTAGGGGAGATCATAGAATTCATTATTTCAGGCTTTAGTGTTTTCCAGACATCTTAATGTATACTGTCATTGCATGCTGTCTATATCAAAGGTGAGCTCATTGTTGACTCATTGCTCACTGGGTGTGGCCAACCGCCAGCACTGAAGCTCACTTGGCTGTTTCTCTCTTTCCTTATCAGTTTTGCTGTGTTGTAAGCGGAGCAAAGGAGCAGGCCGCAGTCCAACAACACTGAAACAAACGGTAAGTAAATCTAGAAAACCCAACATTATTTTCTGTCAGGGAAACTAAAATGTCTGATCCTTTCTGACTAATTTGTGTTCAGTGTTTTACCTGTATGTTTGTTTTTAAAAGAGGTTTCCATGCCTAAATATCACACCAGAAAGTTTTTAACCTGTCCATATTTTTTCTCAGAATCAGTCCAAGAGACATCAGCAAAGATGGCAAACCAGCTACAGAGGCTTGTAGCGGAAAGGAAGGATATGGTGGAGACCGTGATGGATGTCTTTGAACAGGGGGCTGAAGTGGTGGCCAGCATCGCCGGCGACCTTTTCCCCATTTTCTCCATCGCTGCTCCAATTGTTAGACTGGCTCTGGACAATGTGGAAAGCAAAGAAGCTGTGTTCATGAAGGAGCAGTTTCAGAAGGTTCGAGATCGTCTGGAGGTGATATCAGAGGAGATTCAGCAGATCAACGATGAGATCAAGAAGAGCGGATTGGATGCTGTGTACTTCCCAATAGAGGAGAACATCACTAACCAGTTCAGGAAGTACATGGACATCCTCAACGCCAAACCCAAGTTCAGGGAGGTCAAGAAAAAGCTTTTCCTGGATCATTTTGCCAAGAGCGACGGTGACAAAAACCTTATCACCCTCTACAACTCTGTCACAGGAGATAACTTCTCTGGGGAATCTGTGCTGGAGATCACCCTGAACTACGAGGAGAAAAGTCGCCGGCCGGTTGAAGACTTCTGCGCCAGACTAAAGAAACTCTTCTGCGTCGGGCTCATCGCACTTCTGGGCCACGCCGCTCTGAAGGGATACGACGAGGAAGACGCACTTCTGAAAGACTGGGGTGAGAAGATGAAGACTGTCCAGACTAAAATGAATGCCGTGATCGAAGACTGCATCGTCAGCTTCCCCAAACAGGCTGAGAGTGATAGCTGTCGTTTGGTGCGTGACGAGTCAAACCTAACCAACCAGCAGCTTGCTGACGCCATCATAGAGAAACTGAAGAAGAAGTATGACTGGGTGGGCTGGTCCGTGCGTGTATTCAAGTCCCCTTCAGGCCTGTTCGCCAACAAGAAGGATTACCACTGCCCCACAGGGAAGAGTCGCTTCCAGATCCCTTCATCGGACGAGAAGCTCAACGTCTGGGTGTCCTACAGCTCCTCGCCCGAGCCTGTGGACAAGAATCACATCCAGCAGCTGATCCAGAGTCAGAAGAAAGTCACCACAGTCAGTGTATCAGAGGTCCTGTTTGAGAAGTTGCCCGGCGCCTGCGTGGTCCACACGGTCAAAACCAGCAAAGACCTGGCCTGCTCCTGGAGCTTCTCAGGTGACCTGCACTACTGGGAGGAGCACAAAAACTTCTACGTCGCCGTCCACTCGGCCTGAAGCTTTAGATGGTGAAAAAGACTCTGAAAAGTCAGTCATTCTGTGATTGTTGGTTACTTCATATTAACATGGATAATCATAGTCTATGCCTCTCTGCCTGGCCTTAGCAGTGAAATACTACAGAGTATATGTGCCTTAATTGAATCTCTCTATTAGACTTTTTTTACTGACGAATTCCCTTTTTCAAAATGTGTAGCGCTGATGGTTTCTTGCATCATATCAAGTACAAATGTGCCTTAATTGGGATCTTCAATCCGTATGGAACAATACAAACCCTCTGACCCTTGATTTGGAGAAGGATTGGAAATGATTTAATGGGGAAAAAATAAATAAACCTCAGGGAGGATTCCTCTTCCAGGACTGACAGAAATGCAATAGCTTTCAGATTATTTTACTAAGAATAATGACCTTTTTGTTACAATACAGCTGTGTTTTGTTTATTTCTCAAAGCGGACGAATGAGCTCATCCCTTTTGTTTAGACTGTATCATATCCCAGTTTCTCTTTTCGTTAGAAAAAACGTGATATGTCAATGTTAATTTCAGGAGGTTGTTTTGTTTTGGGGGAAGTTGTTGACCTAGAATCCAGCTGTCATACAGAGATTATGTGTCGCTGGTAGTGATAAGGCTTGACCTCGCCTTCTTGAGGACAAACACAACAAGGCTGTGTGAGAAAAATGTCTCAAAAATGTACAGAGACCGTGACAGAAACCTTATTATTGATTGCATTTCTACTCATCTGATTAAAAATAACCCTTGTTGCAAGAGACAAGGCCTCGAACAACATGAACTCATGAAACTTTATTTACACACCCTGCCAAGGACATGCAGAGGCATAGTGACGGCAATACTTTGAATACATACAGATGCCTACTATAGCTATTCTTGGGTGGTTAGGGTTAGATTTCAACACTATGCTGGGAGAATATAATTATGTCACAGAGACACCACTGACTTGTTCTAATTGTTGCATATTATTTGTTTTACATTGTAAACCGCTGTAATCTGTGTGTTTCTCCTTTGTTGTGTGTTATTTTTTCACCAATAAATGTTTTCGAACATTGGATTTGACCAACACATGCCCTGTATTTACTTTAGTATTGATGATGTTCTATTTTATACAATTTCTTTTTCCATACAGTTTATTCCGAGTCTTATATTCAATTCCTGTTGGTACACCAAAGCAATGAATGTAATAAATCTTCCAAATACACTCATTTGTTTGTATATTTTTTCTGAATTACTTGTGGTTTGACTGACTGTCACACAATCTCTTGACTTTGAAAAGACAAGCATTTTTATTACTTGTCTTATTTTTGGATAATTGGTCATGTTTTTGTAGTGGTGTTAAAAGTAAAATAAGACAACTTGCCATACTTGTGCAACATTTGCTAAAATGCAATATTATTTATGATTTTTTTTACAGTTACAACAGTTTAGGTTGATCAAATTGGTGGTTATTCTCATCCAAAAAAGCAAAATGTCTCAATTTTGCTAAAAGTTCAACATTAAATTATTAGTTGTCAAAAATAAATAAATGTCTTAGCTGTCATTGAGTGAGAGAATTAACACCCAACTGTTCTTTGCAGATATCGTAAAGCACTGTCAAAAAAAGAGGAAAAGGATATGATGGTTAGTTTGGAAACACCCTCAGTGCTCTATAATTATGTGGTTGTGGCTTTTCTATATTCAGCGCATAAAGACTCATGGCCCTGCAATACATCACACAGGCGGGTCAAGTGCCTCAGCAGAAATGAACAAGTGCAAAGTAAAACAAGTGGCTCAAGGATTGTTGTCTACATGTATTTTTACTGACATTTATTGGATTTCAAAATGGATATAGGAGGAAATTCTGAGTTACCACGTACGGTAATGTAATTAGATGCTGTGGATCTACATGATGACATTGTATAATACAGGATGTATACAACTAAAATTAAATGTGTACGACTTTTATTTCACTATGTGGACTTTTTGATCTAAGTAGACATGACTGATGAAATCACAAACATGTCCCTCTCAGTAGACTGTACACCCCAACAAATCCAGAGATAAGTGTGAAATGTGGGTTTGCTATCCTGGCTCCAAAATGGTGGAATGAGCTCCCCATTGAAATCAGGACAGCAGCTAGCTTGCACATCTTCCGGCGCAGACTGAAAACTCATCTCTTTCGACTCCACTTCGAGCGATAGAACTATTAACAAATAATTACTAACAGAGCACTTATATATTAATAAAGGACTGGCTTATCTATAGCCAGTTCAGTAGCACTTGAAATGTTTGGCTCTATGAAACCTGATGTATTTATATGATTCTGTTTTCTTCAAGGTTGTATCTTCCTGGTCGAATGCACTTATTGTAAGTTGCTTTGGATAAAAGCGTCAGCTAAATGCAATGTAATGTAAAAATGTTACAAAACAGGGTAACACGTTGGTCATGGAGAAACAATAACAGGGGTTATCTTGTCTTTTCTTACTTGTGATTTATTGGATAGTTGCAGTTCTTTAGGCCTCGGATATTCAAATGATCTGAGAAGGAAAACATGTTCTTTGCTTGAAATGCTAAGCTCATAGAAATATACAACTTTGAGAAGGGGCTGTGACATGGTTTTGAATGTTTAATATATCTCTGCATTCACTCCTACACATGTTTGTGTCAAGGTTGTTAAAACAAATACATACAGATAGTCACAACCGAGTCTCAATGGACTCCAAAAAGATTAGAGAATCTTCTATTACAAAAAAAAGGAGAAAAGAGAAGGACTGTGCTACCCTGAAATTCCCTGAAAGGAATATAATCCATGCAGAACGAATGAAGTGGAGTTAAGCTTACAGTATATGAACCCAAAGATGAGGTGGGATTTTTCTAGTGTCAGCAGGAAATGTGTCCAACATTTGGAGCTATAATCGTCTTTCGTGTCAGGAAAAATACTCCAATTACAAACCTAACGTTGTCTTTGTTGTCTGGATACCTGTTTGCCAATGGAAAAAGACTGAAAAGGAAGGAATTTAAAGACTTTCCCTTCACTTAACGAAGGAAATCTCTCAGAATGCTTTCCAAATTTCCACTGGCAAGTTACATTATTACTCAGTGAGCTGAGGCCCACACACTGCTTAATCAGGAACTTTGGGGAAAAAGCTTAAAGAAAGTGAGCCTAGAAATGTATCAGTATTCAAAAACACTGACAAACATTTGCAATATGGGTACGCTTTAAAATATTCTGTGTACATTTCAGATGCACAGTTCTATTTAGGACATTTGGGAGAAGTGGACTAGAGATAATCCCACTAAAATTGATGTGATTAACTTTTAGCAGTTGCTTATTTGCACATCCAATAGATAGAGAGCAATGCATTCATTTGAAGTCCCTCATGTCTTTGGCTCTGTCTTTTAGCTCATAGTTGGGTCTCCACCTTCTCCTGATGGAAATATCTTACTCCATGTGCTAGTCGTTTACTGTGACTCTCTGATGTTTGGTGCTCGGCAGGTATAGCTGGTTTTTAGTTAGTGAGTTTTTCTTGCAGCAAAAGACAAACAAATACCCAACAATGACAACATGAGAGTGGTGAGAGAGAATGAATTGATAGTTTTGAGTTCACATGATTTCATACCTTGACCTCGGACTACAAACAAAACTGTGACTATAAATGTGACCTCTCTGTAGGAGTAAAATAATACAATATCACTAATAGAGTCATACATGTTCCAGTTTTTGGCATGGCCCCCTCAGCTCTGTTCTCCATCAGTATGGAAGTGCTGTTACAGGCCGGTTCCCGTCTACGGCAGGTGGGCAAGAGGGGCTGATGACACACAATATCCGAATAGGGGACGTGATGCTTTTAATTAGAATAACTCTTCATTGAATATGATTTGGCCACACAGCCTTGCATTGAGCCCGGCCCATCAGGTGACCTCAGGAACGCAGAAAAACATCACGCGGCAAAGGAAGGATTCGCCCGCCATGCAGGAATACATTGTGCTGACACCTCAGTGTAACCAACTCTGCTCACATATAGTCTCAATGGAAATAGCAGTCATTTTGGTTAAAAACAACAACACCATATTTGAATCAGGTGGTGCATGTAAGATGGAGTGAGGGAGGGGCTATAGTTTCCTGAGAGACATCATCTATTGACTTCTAAGGAAAGCTGAATGCTTATAAGATTAGGAAACAGATATGTTTAGTTTCTATCATGAGGAACCAGACTTAGTGTGTTGATGCTGAACAAGGTAAAGGGGACTTCAGAGAAAACCAAATTAACTTAGTGACTAATATGCTCCCACACAGAGCTTGAAGGTTTGAAGCTTTGATCCTCTTTGAAGGCCTACTTTGCGTTTCAGCTGCTGTAAGCTACATGTTAACTTAAATTGTCTAGCAGTAGAAGGGTTGGGATTCATTATTTAACTTTAAAAGACATGATTGAACAATAAATGCAGTTACTGTGTGTAATGTTTTAAAATGTGTGTCACAATGGATAATCTCTTTCAACTGCAAACCAAATCTACCTACGTATAGCCTAAATGACCTGAACCTGAACATAATTGTTTTATTTGTTGTATTATCATGTACCAGTATCTAGTTTTTAGCTTAAGTGGATAATACTACTTCTGACAGCCCAAAAATGTAAAGCTGATTTGATGGGAGGAGCAATATGCACTATGCTGGATGACACAGTGATTATACTTTTGTTGTTATTGTGTAAACTGTCTACACTTCAAGTGTCTCTTCACAAAGTGAAAAGGGCTCTTTCATATTGGATCACATGAGTTTGCACTTTTCCGTAGCTGTTTCAGGGGTTTTTAGGCAATAACGTGTGTATGTTTGATCTGCTGCCCCCAAGTGGCCAGACATCAATAAATTCAGGTTTAATGTTATTGATTGGTGGCAATTCTTTAATTATGAACATATTATGACTTTGGCTTCTGTATCAACTATGAGAACCAGGAAGAGGTTGTGCAAAAAACCCACAAACCTCTTGCTCTATAATCTTTGTCATCAAACACCATGTTTTCACTTGTGGCCCCCTTCCTCACCCTTGCTACTGTGATCCTCTCTCCTCACATACCAGCGTCTGGGCAAGAGCCAACAAGCTCATGTGGCACTGCTATCTGACGACGTGTCACAGAAAATACTCTTCTATGTAGCATTAAAGGGGTATCACACGTCTGATATTGTTTTCAAAATGTAACCTTAGGCGTTTTTCAGGTCCTGCCTCTTTCCTTGTTTAACATTGTATGAACATGTACTCCAATGTCTGTTATGATATAGAATTACAAACCAGCACAAATTATGCAATGCATCAAGCAATCATCTCCACCTCTTTGGTATTTACAATAACTCTTGACTGGTTTCTCGCCTATTATGCAGCATACCATTATTATTATTATTATTTTATGAGAAGTATCGCTCAGAGCAGGGCTTACGTTTACAGGAATACTATAAACACCTTTAACAGCTCTTTTAAAAATAGAGCACATGAAACATTTGTATGTGCTGCCTATCATTTCTATCACGTGTTTATTCAAGACCATATCACGTAAAATATTCACATATAGGCATTTCGTTTTTGTACATTTCACACATGACAACTTAACATCGTGTTGGCAGATTTGTATATAAGAAATGTCATGTGAAAAGGGGTGGTAATAAGTGAGCTACATTGTAAAATGTTCCTGCTAATTTATGAGTGATATCAGCCTCCAATCCTTGATATTGGCAAAAGGTACACCTTTAAACACATTACGTAGACATATTACACCTCATCATTCAGGATTTATAATACATGAAAAAACATAGACATTCCTGTGGCTCTGCCTTAAGCCACTCTCTGTGTTGTGCAACAGGAATTCATCATGAATCAACAGGTACTTTTGAGGCACCTGCTGCAATTTACATTAGAAACAGTATCGTGTTGGCGGCATGAAAATAGGACAGGTGCATCCGTCATGCTCACATGTTTGTGTGTCTACAGCTTCCAAGAATAAAGCTATTGTTCTGAGACTTAGTCTGCATGAAAAAGTGGCTTACATTGTCTTGTGTGTCAGTAGGTAAAAGACAAGTTAAATATTCTGGTTTTGTATACAGTTTCCATGTTTCCAGGAATCCCACAATGTCCTCTCAGCTCCGTGTTGCCATTTAAACAAATAAACAACGTTTTAAAGAGTTATATTTGAGCAAACTTGGATTAGATTACATTACAGCGCCATTACAAAGTCAGGGATTGTATTATTTTAAAAGATAGCATGTCTGACTGAACAAAAGCAAAATATCCAATGAAGTCACTTGGACGGTGATTAAAGAGCTCTTTCAGCTTGATAATGTATCTCTCAATACATTTAGAATAACTTGGTGAAAATCAGTCTTGGACCAGATTGTGTGGAAATACAAGCAAGTGTAATAGAAATACTTAATAAATAAAAAAGTAAATAATAAATAATATGCAAAGCGTCTGGTCCACTTCCTGTGGTGCATTTATTGAATTAGCATTAAATTAGAATTCCAATATGATAATATTTGTATTTGATTACTGTTCATGCTTAGTCTCCTCCAACATTCCCCCCATTTTACCCAAGCTTTCCCGCTCAGTTTAAACTCTGGAATTAGGGAAGCATTATCTGAAAAATGTTGTTTGTTGTTGGTTTTTGCCTATCACAAATGCTGCATTGGTATTTATTATTTCTTTATCTAATGCCTTTTTATGGGATTCAGGCCTATATTTTCAACATAATTTACATAAAGTCAGATGGGATGTGTTAGTTCAATGGCACTGTAATCCCTGCTCCCTTTTCATAACAATTAAACAGTGAATCAAACACCCAACAGGCAAAGTTCAGGTAAGTGACTTTAAGAGAATTACCACCACCTACTGGCAAACCGTGTAGTCACAGGTTGGGCTGAGACCATGGCTGAGACGCTTCGCTTGGTAATAATTGTGCTTTATTTGTCAACAAACTGTAGGGATATATTAATACTGTAAATATATATACAAATATATTTGTGTTGATAATTCTGGCTGTGTAAATGCATATTGCATACATTTTGGTTTGATTTTATTTGGGAAGTTTGGAAATAATTATGCTGTGTTTGATGACTTAAGAAAAGGCTTAAAAAACAATTTGTGATGAAAACAGGTTGAAATTACAGATTTGTATAACAATTTATTAGAAAAAACAACTTTAAATGACTTTAATTGCAGACAAATGTAATGTATTGTAGTGAAGTAGAAGTAAAGTGTAGATACAAAAGATTAAGATATATTCCAAAACTTGACTTTAAAGACATAGTTCAGTTCATATATTCCCATACAGTACATATATTCTACAGGTTGGATTTGACTCTGAGCAGACTGTCTTTAATCATAATAATCTAAACTGGCGCAAGACATGTTTTTTGCTTTGATCGCCTGATTGGTAGATTAATGACACCATCAGCATATGGATTGGTTCCTCATAAGCCTTGCTTTCACTATAAGAGGAAAATTAAGTTCTGATTATGGCATTAAACAGTGGGAAATAAGGTGCAGCGTGTCCTGTATCATTTTAACATTTTCCTATTAGAGATAAGATATACTTTATTAATCCCAAATTGTAAAGAAATAGTAAAAAATAAAACATTATGCAATATAAACATCTCTAAATAAAACAAAACTAAAAGTGAAAATATATAAGTTGAACGTGAAGAAAAAATATGTAAACCATCTGACAAATAGAAAAATATTGAAGGGCTAACTTACAGCTCACACAATAAAAAAGTGGGATATGATTTACAATTAGTTTGCAATAATGGCATATTAATTAAATATAAATAAAGAGTAGGTGGCACTAGCTCAAAAGGTTCCTTTAAGAGTAATATAATTATCTTTTCAAATTATACTTCCTTAACCTCACACTTTAGTTATCTTTCCTATTTGTATTAGAAGACCAGAACTTTGAACACATTCAATATCTCAGAGGGGTTTAATATAAAGCAAACAATAAAACTACAAACAGAACAAGTGTTTTTATTGTGACAGTCAACAGTTTCGATTACATTACTTTTTTTAAATGACTAAATAGTGCAATAGAAAACCCTTTCAGTATTTCACACACGCACAAACCTCCCTTTTACATCCAAACAAGCTAAACGTAAGGTACCTTATTCAATAGAAATTGTAATCAACAGCTTTAAAACATTTGCACGAAAGAAAGAGACACCAATATAAAGCGTATTATCTGAAATACAAAAAAAAAGTGCAAACGTTTTTTAAACAAAACGTGTAGGAAACGACCCAGAAGATTAAGCAGCGAAAGGGACAGCTGAGTTTGAGTAAATCATTAGAGCACATTCAGTCCACTGTTTGATTATAAAACCTGGGACTGACAGCAGAGAGCAGGATTGTTTTTTAGCTAGACCTTGGGGTTACCAGGGACTTCGTCCAGCAGGGGCTTGTAGTATTCAGGTTCCTCATTCTTGTAAAAAAAGAAAAATAATATCATTAAGACATACTCAAATCTTGACCTGTTTCTAACCCTTAAGGCCACATTTAAACAACTTATAAAGAAAAGCAGTCTTTCTATTGAATATAAATATTTACAGTTCTGACAGTAAGATGTTATTTTGGAGACCATACCATCTTTTCGTCCTTCCCCCTTCTCTTCAGAGCCTTGATCCCCAGGACGGCGGAGCTGATGGTGAGGCAGAGCTCCAGGGCTGAGAGGACAATCATCAGAACGTGCATGCTCCTCAGCAGCATCTGGTGGGACGACAAGAAGCAGTGCTTTCTTTCTAAGATTCAAATCACATCTGCTTGTTATATTCAGGTATAATAACATTTGTAGACTGTGTTCTAACTTGCACAATTTCCTTCAAATGTTGCTTTTTGTGGGACTTCTTATTGGTTTTAATGATGTTGAAAATCCCCTATTGATCTAGCACAGATATAAAACATTAACTCTCCGCCCATTAACATACAGACGACGCATTACCACCAGTCATTCAGGACTTCTGGTTATTACTCAGGGCACAAAATACCAGAAAACCACAATAATATCCATATAACTCAAATAACGGTGATCACAATTTTCAAAAGAAGAATTTTCATTTCAGAAGCTAAAACCAGCTCATGTTGGACATTATCATTTGATATATTACTAAACAAATATATTGATTAATTATCAAACTTATGGATGAGTTCTTTTTTGTCACAGGACTAATTCATTCATCAAATAATTGCCATCGCTGATTTTTCTTCATTAATTTATTCTTAGTGAAGCCTGTTGCAAACAGTTGTAAATGGTGATCATTCATGGTAACTTTTAAGACAACATCCGGATAAGGACATTTTCCACACTCACCAACATCAAGTCCTTGGTTTCCAAGCATTTCTGCTCCATTCTCTTTTCCCCAGAAGAGGCAGTGGGTGATTGATCATAGTAATATCGATTGTTATCATCCTCACACAACCAATACAGCCCCATGAATGTCATTCTGAGGCTGTAGAGTATGATGGCTGCAATGGCAAAACCACTCCTGCAAGATTCAGAATCACATTGACGATGACCTTGAATGAAAGACACAAAAACACAGCATGACAAAAATGCTCATCAAGTTCGAAAGCCTCCAACTTTCTCCCACTTAACAGCTTGGTGGCACAGCTCCTTCATTATGCCCTCCCCAAGACAATGTAGGTGTAAATGCTCAAAATGCTGCGCAGACATACTCACCAGACATGGACTGGGGTACTTCTCAGACAAAATGGAGACGATGCCAAACAACATGAACTAGAGACAGAAACAAGAATGTTTTACCTACATTCTTCCACGTAAACACTTAAATTCAGACAAGTCATTTCCAGTTTCTTTAATTGGTTCCAAAGCATTCTTAGCACCAAGAGGGAGGGCATACCCATCTGGCGTTTACATTGGCCTGGGTGTGAGTGCAGCCTGCGAGTACATAGGAGATACATTATCTGCTTTTTATCATTTGAGAACTAAAGAAGAACTAGAGAATTAAGAAAAACACAATTGGGGTTTGGCAGAACTCTGTAATATATTCAAAACACAGCACAGTACAGAAGTGATTGGTTTTAGCTGAGCCATTCATTTGTGCTTGGAGGGATATCTGATTCTGAATCTGAAAAAAAAGCCCTTAGGTTAATCTCCTTAGGACTAAGTAGACAACCCAAGAAACGTACTGTTGGGCTTTGGTTATGATACAAATAACAATAGAAAAAAACATATAAGCATTGGTTTGCTTACCAATGAACCCAACCAAAAGGAAAACCCGCTGATATCCCCAATGGGAGTAAAAGCAAAGATCGCACCAATGCCGATGTTGAGCAGCCCAATCATAATCTGCAGAGTCTATGGAGAAGAAAACCTAGCATGAACCACAAACATCTGTACAGTACAACAGCAAATAACAGGTCACTGTGTGGTGCAGAACTGTTATACAGTATAATGTTATATGTTATGTATTTATTGCAAGACAAAAGACAAATAACTCACCCCCAGTACTGTCTGAGAGGTGTTCTGGAGCCTCCTCAGGTGCTGGGACACAGAGCAGCAAATTGGGCTGCAGCACAGGTTTTTGAGGATTTGGTACAGAGGAGGACAAACACTTTGGGGGTCAGAGGTCAAAGTGATTACAGTGCTGCCCTCACTCTTGGAGATTGTGAGAGCCATCCTGCCTGCTCCTGTAGACTGAAAGAAACAAGAGAGACCTTTTAATTTGCTGTATTACGTTTTTTTCTCAGCCACAGTTTTGTGAAATAGCCATTTTGGCTGTAAATCCAGGAGTGGTTTTCTGATACTATCTATCAGGTTTCTAAAAACCCTTGCTTTTGTAAATGGGGCTTCTAACCTGTACTATGAACAGAGCAGTTACCACTAAACGGCGTAAATAATGAACTTTTATAGTAATATATATAATAAAGGGAAAACAAGTTCCTTTTGAGACATTTTTTGAATCGAATTCCTTAAAAAATTTAACAATGCGTTTGAGGAAGTGATTGCGTTTGAGGAAGTGATAAGTGATAATAATCCTATG